TGGGAGGCATTGTGCCCCTTCATTATTAACTTTATAATGCCGAGTAACAGAGAATTTCTACAAGTTTTTTGAGTCACATACAATTTATTCAGTGCAGAATGGGCAGCACTGGGAGAGGAAGCTTCAAAACTACACTATGAGTAAGAATGTACATGAGCACAGTTAGAACACGAAGCCTTTAGGGTACAACAGAATGCAAATATGCAAATACAAGAAATACAGAACCAAATGGCACAGTTTTATCAAGAGGCTCAGACGCAGAAGCAATTGGAAGAAACGCAAGCGCAACTGGCAAACACACAGGCAAAGTTGGCAGCCTCCCACAAACAATGTAAACAAATGCTGGAGGAATTACGCCAGATGCAAAATCAGCATGCTGTCACGCAGTCTCAACTGGCGGCGGTCCTCGACAAATTAAATGACAGGGAACCACAGAGTGTTCCTGATGCATTTCACACAACCGAAGAAAAGGATCCCCCACAAAAAGGGAGAGATTTATCAAGCTGGGCATGGAGGCCGGAACCGGCTGTACCGAATACGGAGGAACGCCCGAAGTTGAGCACTCGGGGGATACAGGAATTACGACAGCCAACGTGGTCCGAATTATGCAGGCCCGAAGAAAAAATACGGACCTTTGAAGGGATGATGGAATATCTGGGGGAGACATCGCCCAGCCAACTAATAGATGCTTTTCAGTAACTTTTTCCCAGACCAGTTAACCACGGCTTATTTTATAATGATGCATGGAGCAATTTCGTACAATGGCTGGACTCTGTTCGCATCGAGGGGTTATCAGCACAGCTGATCCAAATGGGACGGCAGATATACACACAACTCAGGGTAATTCGAACGGACAAAGATAACCCTGGACTGAAGATAACCGAACTAGGGGAAGCTATGGAAGAGCCACAACTAAAAGAAGATCCAATCGCACAGGCAGCTGCTAAGTTAAGGCGGAAACATTCAGCACCACCGCTTAGTAAGGCACGCTGTTTCACATGTGGTCGCATCGGCCACTACAGCACGAGGTGCCGCGTGAATACACAAAAAGAAACATATAAACCAAAAAACGATTATCTGCCCCGAAAACAGTGAATACCGGGACCCGGACAAATAGGGTACGTAAAGGAGAACAATATTCAAGAATGGTTGCGTCCCCTCAACAGCGTGTTTTTCTTCCGATCACATATTCAAACGGTCACCCAGAAGATTATAGCAGGAAATACGCAACATCAAAACGCAAAATTACAACAACTACAAGAGTTTTTCCCATCTGGTACACTTCCCCAGGGGACAACATCAATAAACGAGGTAACTTTAATTCCAGCGAGATCCCACGATCCGTACATTGTGGCGTTGGCATCCGAGGCCAACCGCATCGCAAAACATATGTGGATTCGAACAACATGGGAACAGAGGGGTTCAATAGTGCGCAGCTTCATAGAGTTCACAACAAAAAACAATTCAAAGGTATAGGAAGAAAATATTCCACTTTTTATCGTAAGTTTACAACTGGCAAAAAGCAGCGCGATTCAATATACGCGCACACTGACCACCATGCTGGCATCGCCCAGAACACCTACTCAAATGTTTTTAATGGGTTTACAAAAAAAAAAGAACCGCAGCGCAGGACCCGTTAAAACAAGCACGTCCAATGTTAAGATGGGAACTGGATATGATAATCGATACTCTTCCACTGGAAAGGGGTCGAGTGGCACTACGCCTGGCGTGGGTTGTAGCCAGCCGTTGGGGAGAAATAACAGAGCTTCAGAAACAAAATTTCGTACCGTACGATCAAGATCACAATGCTATAATAGTGGATTGGGGAGGCACTGCCAAAGACATTCAAGAGTGATCCACACAGAGCGGCCAGATACGTGGTAATCGCAGGAGCAGACACACAGCGCGTCAGAGCCACCATAAAAGGAATGGTGAGCGACGAAAAGTTAATAACATTAACCTCAAAAGATATGGAGAATATTCTTCGACCGTACGGAATGACAGCTCACTCGATAAAGAGAGGAGCACTAGCCTACGCCGCGGCAGCAGTGGTCGAACACGATCTCGATCTACTGTTATTAACACAGTTAGGGAAACATACAGATCCAATGGAACTCCCCCGGAGCACGGTGCGATATTTGGGCCACTGGTCCGCAACAATAAATCAATCAGCACACCTGACATCATTGATGTAAGAGAATTGGAAAAATGGGCAGCGGAAAAATGGGAGATACCAGAATCCGCAAAACAACACATTTCTGCGCCACCTTTAAAGGGCATAATATACTGCAACGATCACACCATACCAGAGTGGCAACGAAATATAAAGAAGAAGCACGATTGCCGTTGTAACAAATAGATGTAGGAACACTGTCCACCGAATGGATTAGAGAACGCCTGAACAATAGGGCCAGGAGGCGTTGGGATGAGATATGGCATATTGTGCAGAAACCCGAGTTACACGCCAAGCGACGTGAGTCCAATTTACGAATTAACAACGCTGATGCGCAGCGTATGAAGGAAGCAGGTATTATTTGTACAGCTTCATCACACCCAACCACAGGATGGGTGGTACCTTTTACGGTAGTGGAGGAAAAACCCTACGGACAAAGAGGGCGATTTATTGCTTGGACAAGAGAAAAGAATGACAAGGATGATTGTGAGGCTGATGTTCCTCTGGGACATATTTCTCGATACCTCGATGTAGTTTACGATGAAACGGCAACATTATTTGATTTAAAGGCATCATTTTTCCAGATGGCACTACCGGTTAACAGACGTGCCAGTTTCCGTTGCCGCACGGAATCAGGAGAACTCGTTGAGTTCACTCGCCTTCCCATGGGCTATAAATGTAGCCCCGAGATTTTAAATACCATTACAAGAGTCCTAGCTGGCGATCCGGCTTTGGTATTACCACAGTATGCAGCGCCCACACAGAATTACAAATACACGTTTGGATTGATAACATCAGAAGAAGTGGTCCACACGAAAAGGTGGAAGTTTGGGGAAAGCAAATTTTGAAGAACATGCAACACGGCGGTGCCACCATTGGGAAACAGCAGGTTAAAACGAAGGAATATGATTTCATAGGAGTACATTTCAATCACAAAGACAACACAGTTTCTTTAAGTGAGAAAACAATAATGAGGTTGCGCCAGGCACCATCCCTGGATAACACGACGGTCTAAGAATTAGAGAGTACAGTTTCGCGTATGATGTACGCAGGAGGGGTAAGGGGTGAATCCCTTTCCCCTTATTATTTTTTTTTTAATTGTACGGCGACGTTTGTCACGCTTAAATAGAGGATTAATACGGCCGCAAGAGCCGGCAAGTTTATTATCACATGCCAAGGACATCGGGCAAAATTGGCTCAAAAGATTATTAATGAGCGAGCCGGTTCATCCTCCACAAAAGTTGCCCTCTACGGCAACGCTGGTAACAGACGCATCCATGTACGGGTGGGGAGCGTTGTTATTCAAAGATTCAGGAGAAGTTTTGGCGGCAGATGGGGCATGGGAGAAGGCACCTAACATGATATCTCAAGCAGAGGCACGTGCCGTTCATCTCGCTTCACGCGGATTTAAACCGCATTTGACGGGTCCGTTGGATATTCGCGTTGACAATACAACGGTTATGGGCATTATGCAAAAAGGAAACGCACATTCACAGGCGTTAGTGAAGGAAGCTAACGCCATAGATAGAGTTTTGTGCTCACACGGAATACACGCAGAGTGGAGCTATGTAGCATCAGAGCAGAACCCTGCGGACGGCATATCTAGAGGTAAATTCATCAAAAAATCGGACATAGCGAAGGGGTGGAACTTGCGACGGGAAGAGAGTGAAGCGGGTTTAAAGTTGCTTCTCAGCACTTCCATTTCGTCAGTTCTTAGGATGTATTTAATAGTATAACGCTCTGGACAAAAACGATTTATTTTTTATACATGATGGGGTTCCAATTCGTGGAGGTCAAATACAGGTTTTTCTTTTGTTCTTCTATTTTCTTATTTTATGGGGAGAAGTAAGGCTAAGATTATTCTTATATATGTGTTCATATATATAAACGGGTTTTAATTGTATTGGGGTTTGGTAAGAGACACGTCTGTGTGTCCGTGGAGTGCAGTCACATAGGTGTGGTTTGTTCTGCACCTGATGGGAATATTTCTTCTTGTTTTCTTTTCCCTTATTCTTCTTTCTGCTTCATGTACTCCGCTGCTTTTCCTGTGTGTCTGTGTATAGATGTTGTGTTTGTCCTGTTCTGTTTGTGTTCTTTGTTTCTTTTTCTCTTCTTCCTTGTTACCACAGACCCAAGCAACCCACAGTGACAATCATGACAACGATGTTCGTCCAACTGCGCCGTGTGGTGTACCTGTTGGTACTTCTGCAGTGCTGTGTGTGTGTGGCATACGCTAATAATGCGGAAAGTGTTACGGATCCCATCACGCATGAAGAAAGTGATCTTTCATTGTTTCTTAACGAAATGATTAAGGATCTGTATAGGCAGAGAGATATGTTTAATGATAATCTTGCGTTATTAACGACCACACAGAAAAATTGCAGTGAAGCTTTGAATCGTGCTGAGAATGCAACAACTAAGGTGCGTGAAGTTGATAAGCTTTTGGATACTACAAGGCGCACGATGCATATGTCTGAAAATGTGAATGAGAAGGAGAGTGAATTAAAAGAGTTGTTGAGGAAGGCAAAAGATACAGTAAAAGAGGGCAGGGAAGCCGCTGACAACGCGAATTCGATAGCTACAGCAACAATGGATTTGGTGAGTTCAATGCAGAGTGGTACAATGGAATTGCACAGCCTGGCAGAATTCCTTAAGAACATTGTTGACGAACACATTAACGACGGTGGAAGGAAGGAATTGCTTGAAGAGTACCAGAAAAAAGCGAAGGAGGTGGAATCTTCCGTTGACGGTGTCGAAAACATCTTGTCAAGTGCCAACGAGGTGGCAAAGAAGACCGAGATACAGGCGGAAGTTGCCTCCTTTGAAGCAAAAAATCTTCAAGCATTTATTGATGAAATGTTTAAAAAGTACCCACAGATAAAAGAAGAGGTGGAACGAGAAAGTAAAGAGACGACTCAAACAAGCAACAATTCGACGAATACAGGAAGTGAAGGTAATAAGACGCCATCACCAAACGAAAATAAGGAGTCGAACGGTACAGTTTCAACTTCGCAGAATAAAGAGGAGATAAAGAACCCGAATACCCATTCCGCACAAGCTGAGGCGGGAAGCCATACAACTGCCCAACAGCAGCAGAATGAACAGGGCTCTAAGGGGCAAAATAATAAGGAAAGCAAAGATGAGACACAAGACAAAAATCAGAATTCTCAGAGCAACACTCCGACTGACAGTAACTCATCTGCTACTGGAACTTCACAATCACAAAATATACCAACTAATTCCTCTTCTTCAGCTTCAATCCATTTGAAT